TAAATATAAAGACGTGGAGATAATACCATGCACCATATCTGATCATAATGGAATGAAACTGGAAATCAATGATAAAAGAAGGAAGGAAAAATCCTACATCACATGGAAAATGAACAATATGTTACTGAATGATCAATGGGTTACAGAAGACATAAAGAAGGAGATAAAAAAATTCTTAGAGACAAATGACAATACAGACACAACATACCGGAATCTATGGGACACAATGAAAGCAGTTTTAAGAGGGAAATTCATTTCTTGGAGTTCTTTCCTCAAAAAAAGAAAAAACCAACAAATAAATGAACTCACACTACACCTCAAAAACCTAGAAAAGGAAGAGCAAAACAACAGCAAATGTAGTAGAAGACAAGAAATAATTAAAATTAGAGCAGAAATCAACGAAATTGAAACAACAAAAAAAACCATTGAAAAAATTGTAAAAACTAAAAGTTGGTTCTTTGAAAAAATAAATAAGATCCACAGGCCCTTAGCCATGCTAACGAAGAGGAGAACTCAAATTACTAACATACAGGATGAAAAAGGCAATATCACAACAGACACTACAGAAATACAGAAGATAATTAGAAAGTATTTTGAAACCCTATATTCCAATAAAATAGAAGATAATGAAGATATCGATAAATTTCTTAAGTCATACAATCTGCCCAGATTGAGTCAGGATGACACACACAATTTAAACAGACCAATAACAAAGGAAGAAATAGAAGAAGCCATCAAAAGACTACCAACCAAAAAAAGCCCTGGACCTGATGGGTATACAGCGGAGTTCTACAAAACCTTCAAAGAAGAATTAATACCAATACTTTTCAAGCTATTTCAAGAAATAGAAAAAGAAGGAGTTCTTCCAAATTCATTCTACGAGGCCAACATCACCCTGATCCCGAAACCAGACAAAGACATTTCAAAGAAAGAAAACTACAGACCAATATCTCTAATGAACTTGGATGCAAAAATTCTCAATAAAATCCTGGCGAATCGAATACAAAGGCATATCAAAAAAATTGTGCATCATGATCAAGTAGGATTCATCCCTGGGATGCAAGGCTGGTTCAATATACGGAAATCAATAAATGCTATTCACCACATCAACAGACTTAAAGACAAGAACCATATGATCATCTCAATAGATGCAGAAAAAGCATTCGACAAAGTACAGCATCCCTTTATGTTCAAAACACTAGAAAAACTAGGGATAACAGGAACTTACCTCAACATGGTAAAAGCTATATATGCTAAACCTCAGGCTATCATCCTAAATGGAGAAAAACTGAAGGCATTCCCTTTAAAATCTGGAACAAGACAGGGATGCCCTCTATCACCACTTCTATTCAATTTAGTTCTTGAAATACTAGCCAGAGCAATTAGAGAGACAAAAGAAATTAAAGGCATAAAAATAGGAAAAGAAGAACTTAAATTATCGCTATTTGCGGATGACATGATAATATATTTAACAGACCCAAAAGGGTCTACAAATAAACTGCTAGAGTTAATAAATGAATTCAGCAAAGTGGCAGGATATAAAACCAACACACATAAATCAAAGGCATTCCTGTATATCAGCAACAAAACTTCTGAAATGGAAATGAGGAAAACCACTCCATTCACAATATCCTCAAAGAAAATAAGATACTTGGGAATCAACCTAACAAAAGAGGTGAAAGACTTATACAATGAAAACTACAGAACCCTAAAGAGAGAGATAGAAGAAGATCTTAGAAGATGGAAAAATGTACCCTGTTCATGGATAGGCAGAACTAACATCATCAAAATGGCGATATTACCCAAAGTTCTCTACAGGTTTAATGCGATGCCAATCAAAATCCCAATGGCATTTCTTGTAGAAATAGATAAAGCAATCATGAAATTCATATGGAAAAACAAAAGACCCAGAATAGCAAAAGCAATTCTAAGCAGGAAGTGTGAATCTGGAGGTATAGTGATACCAGAGTTCAAACTATACTACAAGCAATAGTAACAAAAACAGCGTGGTACTGGTACCAAAACAGGCAGGTGAACCAATGGTACAGGATAGAGGACACAGAAACCAATCCACGAAAGTAAAACTTTCTTATATTTGATAAAGGGGATAAAAGCATGCAATGGAGGAAGGACAGCATCTTCAACAAATGGTGCTGGGAAAACTGGAAATCCATATGCAACAAAATGAAACTGAATCCCTTTCTCTCGCCATGCACAAAAGTTAACTCAAAATGGATCAAGGAGCTAGATATCAAATCAGAGACACTGCATCTGATAGAAGAAAAAGTTGGCTATGATCTACATACTGTGGGGTCGGGCTCCAAATTCCTTAATAGGACGCCCATAGCCCAAGAGTTAATAACAAGAATAAACAAATGGGACTTACTTAAACTAAAAAGTTTTTTCTTAGCAAGAGAAACAATAAGAGAGGTAAATAGAGAGCCTACATCCTGGGAACAAATTTTTACCCCTCACACTTCAGATAGAGCCCTAATATCCAGAATATACAAAGAACTCAAAAAATTAAACAATAAGATAACAAATAACCCAATCAACAAATGGGCCAAGGACCTGAACAGACACTTCACAGAGGAGGACATACAATCAATCAACAAGTACATGAAAAAATGCTCACCATCTCTAGCAGTCAGAGAAATGCAAATCAAAACCACCCTAAGATACCATCTCACTCCAGTAAGATTGGCAGCCATTATGAAGTCAAACAACAATAAGTGTTGGCGAGGATGTGGGAAAAAGTGTACACTTGTACACTGCTGGTGGGACTGCAAATTGGTGAGGCCAATTTGGAAAGCAGTATGGAGATTCCTGGGAAAGCTGGGAATGGATCCACCATTTGACCCAGCTATCGCCCTTCTCGGACTATTCCCTGAGGATCTTAAAAGAGCGCACTATAGGGATACTACCACATCAATGATTATAGCGGCACAATTCACAATAGCTAGACTGTGGAACCAACCTAGATGCCCTTCAATAGATGAATGGATAAAAAAAATGTGGCATCTATACACAATGGAGTATTACGCAGCAATAAAAAATGACATAATCATAGAATTTGCAGGGAAATGGATGGCATTAGAACAGATTATGCTAAGCGAAGCTAGCCAATCCTTAAAAAACAAATGCCAAATGTCTTCTTTGATATAAAGAGAGCAACTAAGAACAGAACAGGGAGGAAGAGCATGAGGAAAAGATTAACACTAAACAGAGACGAGTGGGGGGAGAGAAAGGGAGAGAGAAGGGAAAGCATATGGAAATGGTAGGAGACCCTCAATGTTACACAAAATTACATATAAGAGGTTGTGAGGGGAAAGGGGGGGAAACAAGGGAGAGAATTGAACAACAGCAGATGAGGTAGAGAGGGAAGATGGGAGGAGAGGGGAGGGGGGATAGTAGGGGATAGGAAAGGTAGCAGAATACAACAGTCACTAATATGCCATTATGTAAAAACGTGAGTGTGTAACTGATGTGATTCTGCAGTTTGTATTTGGGGTAAAAATGGGAGTTCATAACCCAATTGAGTCTAATGTATGAAAGATGATATATCATGAACTTTGTAATGTTTTGAACAACCAATAAAAAAAAAAAAAAGAAATTGACCAAATGGTATATGCATGTACAAATACATGCTACAATGAAACCCACTATCGTGTATAATTCTAATATATCAGTAATCTTTTTAAATCCTGTCACTGGTTACAACATGGGTAGCCATGGAGTTATTTCACATAACTTCATGTCAAAGAAAAATAAACACACATGATCCCACTCATGAGGAATCTTAAAAAGTTGATTTCATAGAAGCTGAAATAGAGTGTACGTATCAGGGACTAGGGCAAATAAGAGAGATAAGGGGAAAGACTGGTCAATAGGTACAACAGTACAGTTAGACAGGAGGTATAAATTCTAGTGTTCCATGGCACAATGATCTCAAATATAAATTTTTGCTTTAAAAGCAAAACAAGAGAGAGGACTCTGAATATACTCACTAAAAATATGATAAAAGGTTTAAGGTGATAAACATGTAAATTACTGACTTGATCATAACCCAATGTACATGACTCAAAACATCACACTGAACCTCATAAACATGCATAATTATGTATTAATCGAAAAATGAAAAGTAAAAAATAAATTAGGAGAAATGACAACATTTAATCAAAGAACCTGAAAATACTTCAACCCTAGGCTGGCATAAAATTCCTAAATATTTTTCTTGCCAAGGTCATCTGTTTTTCTAAAACACATACATGCAAAAACATTCATGACAGAAATTCTTATTCCGATTGAATAAAGTACATATTGGTGGCCACATAAATCAAGCCATCAAATATATCTAAGTACTTTGCTTTAATTTTTTTTAAATTAGCCTTCATGAGATCAAAGCATATTTCAGAACCTTTTATCTAGGAAATTAAAAGGAGAACTACTGAGATTCACAGGTCAAAGGGTTGGAAAAGCAAACTTTATCAAGCCAAATCATGGAAAACATTTATAATCTTAATCTCTGAATAGGATGGGAATTACCAAAGCTACCTCAATAGAAGGGACTTTCTACCATTATTTCCTACAACTCTGACTCTTCCTATTTTAGAGGTTATACACCATCATAATTAATCTGTGGATAAAAGTCACAAATTGAAGTTGTCATCCTCACCTAGGTTATACATTCTGAAGCAAAAATGGATTTCAGATAGAAGAGATGCAATCTCCATCTCTAACCAATTTACATGAATCTATTTCACTTCTGAGTTCAAATGGCAGGGATGAGACCTATAATAGGTAACTTCCATAAGGAGTAAATCTTCAAGAAGCTAAAGAATCCAAACTTTCAAACTGAGCCATATACATGTAAGAATTTTAATAAAATCTAAAAGAAACTGATTCTATTGTGTCTATGTGTGTTTATCAGTTTTCCCATTTCTAACTTCTTTATTTAAAAACAAAAAAGTGATGCACTGAATCTTATATAAATGTCTTACCTGTTTGGCTTTTGGGTTCTTCCCAGATGAACTTTTTTCATTTGTACTCCCATCCATTCCTCTTAGAACACTAATAAAATCTTTCTTGGAAACAGATGATATCAACTTAGTGCGCTTTCTAATAGAGCCTCCTGCTTCTTTAATCTTTTCATCAACATTCTTTTGATGTTTCTGAACAGCATTAAATAACTGCACCACACCCCTGAAGAATATAATTGTGACCAGAACAATGTAGTTAAATAACAATTACACTAGAATACAAACTCTACAAAGAAGAAACAGTATATTTCACTGCCTAAAAAAGGGGGCAAGTACTTATTAGGCACTCAATGAAAAAATAAATAAATAAATGAATGGTTAAATACATCTGAAAAACGGACATACATTTCTGTTAACAAATATAAATTTCTGACTAGAGAATAAATATATATAAATTGTATAGGATTTTTATTTTTCACAGCTTTGGTTTTTCTAAGTCAACTGTCGTACAATAAGAAACAAGTTACTTTTAAAACAAAAGCTTATTTCTCAAAACATACACAATAAGTGAAGGCATTTATGGTGGAATGAAAGAGCACAGTCTTTAAGCATGTGATTCTAGAAAAGACTTGCTGCATCATAATTTCATCTGTATATTAAAAACATACCTGTTTATTCAACTATATTATCTGCAACTCTTGTATTACAAAATGAATTTTAAATCCTATGTTTAGAGCTAGGAGCACAGCTCAGTGGTAGAGTGCTTGGGTAGAATGTATGAGGCCCTGGGTACAATCCTCAGCACCTCCCCGCCCCCAAAAAATCCCACTTTTAAAGATATTTATTTTAAAAGTTTGAAAGTTCATTCAAAGATGAATTCTGAAGATTAAAAACAGTATCCCATACAGAAGCACAATCCACATGTGATATTTGAGCATTTGAAAGATGACTGATCTGAACTGATGCATTGTGCAAATGTAAAATACATTCCAGAATTCTATGACTCAACATGAAAAAGAAATTCAAAATCTCATAAATAACCATTTTATACCAATTACATGTTGAAATATTTTTAATATACTGGGTTATATATTGAATATATTGGGTTATATATTGAATATATTGGGTTATATATTATTGTTTTACTTTTTATATATATTTTGTTTTACTTTTTTCAATAAGGCTGAGGAAATTTTTAAATTATACATGTGGTTCACATTATATTTCTACTGGACAGCAATGATTTAGACCATTAAGATCCATTCCAGTTCTGAAATTCTATAATCTATTCACTCTCTTTCGATAGTAATTCTTAGAAGAGGCAATCTGCCATGGGCTCAAGCATCCCTGCACTTTCTTGCAGAGTTTGTCAAGAGTGAAAGGCCCTGACTGCTCTTTACCCAGGACATTTCTCAGGGTTGTGTTTGAAATAAATGACCTTGACAGTTGAAGTAATGTCGCTCCACATAAACAGCTAATTAATAATCATTATAAGAGCAATAGATTCCCTAGCACAGTGTTCCTCTCCTGTAATGCAATGCAGTATATGTACAGGCAGCCATCTATGGCACCTGCACTGTCCCTGTAGGACAAAGGGAACAAGTGAGAATGTGAAGCTCTGGCTACTGCTTTTATCATGAGTAATGAAGTCTTTTGTCCCTGACCCAAAATTCTCTTGCCTTTTACCAGCAGCTCAAAAATTTAATAGTCTAGCTGATTATCTTTAAAAAAGAAAGTCAAATGCCATCTCCTTCAGCAGGGCCATGACCAGTATCAAACAAAAGAGGTGCTTGGTACAAATTTAAGGAAGCATTCACTCTCATAGGATGACCCTAATTTCCCTTAGTTCTTTATATTTATTCTTACATTTAATTCTCAGAAAAAAACTCTATATGCTGGGTAAGTAGCCTCTTTTAACAGATATACTGAAGCAGTATGGTATGCCCAAGTACACAGAGCAAGTACAATTCAATAATGGAATTTGAACCTAACAGTCTGGTCCTATCATCCATGCCCTAAATCACTATACATAACCATTTCACTATATAACACCTTAATAGATCAAAAAATGACCAGAAATAATGTGGGTAACTAAGATTTTAAAATAAATTCACTAAGTACATTCTTTAAGTACCAATCCAAATGTTATCTTCTCTGTGAAGCCTTCCCATCTAACCTAGACAATTGCCTATGAATGTTCCCAGCACACAGTACATGCCTCTATTCTCAAAAAGACTATAAATTCTACACTTAAGAGGGTAAGGACCACCCACAGCCACCATATCCCATTTACCTTTGGACAGGGAGGTCACCAAATATTTGGTGCCAATAATAAAAAAAAAAGTAGAGTATAAGAATAGCATGAAACTGCCATCATTTGCAATGTATTGTCCCATAAACATAATGCAAGATAACAAAAATAATTATCAAGTACCATAAATTTAGATAACCATCATAACAGAAATGCATTAAGAAGTTTTACTTCTTAATGTTGTACACTGTTCTCATGACTACAAAAACAAGATGATCTGAAATAGGTTCATACTAAATATACACTTAACACATTATATTCCTGCTTTTAAAAGATCTCCAAAATCTTTGGTTGAATTTAGTGTTTAACAGGAGACTTAGATAAATATCACTTGGCTTGAGAAGGCAGAGCTTAAGAATCAAGTCTGATCAAAATTTTAGTCTACTTATTTTTAAAGGGCAAAAACTCTGTCTTACCTTGTTGCAATTCTCTGAAGATTTCTCTCTGTTTCTTTGTCTCTGACGACATCTGGCTTTACTCTGCACATCATTTCCCACTCCCGCTTCTTATCAAGCTGTGTTATAAATATTGTTATGTGAAAGAATATTAAGCATTTTTGAAAGTGCAGCAAACTTTGATATGATACTCTGTGAAAGGACAAAGGTAATAAATCATTCTGGCTTAGGTTGTCATAGAGACTTTTAAAAAACCACAAGTTTAGGGGTTCAGCTCAAAGAAACTGTGGTTAGCACTCAGCATGTCATGTGAGAGGCACAAAGTGAGTTTCTGTCAGGTTTCCTGACAGCAGGGGTCTGGAGCACTGCCAGTATGTTCAGCCAGGCAGTACAAGGTAGTGTGTAAAAGAGCCACATGCCTGATCTGCCATCAACAGATCATCAGACGGAAGCGAAAGGAAGACTCCATACTAACTTCAAGTTTAAGCACTGTTTCTCTTTACTTTCAGAAAGTGAATTCTTTGACAGAATAAAAATGTATTTCAGCTTTTTAAAGAATATCATATTTACATAGATATTCATTTAGTGACTACTATTCTCTGTACAAAATAATTTAAATCTGTTTCTCCTCTTGCAGCACATTGACTAATATTCATGCCAGATATGGCCCATCAGTTAAAACATAGCAATTTGATTCTCTGCTATTATGCAAAAATAGGAGAGGGGCTGAGAAGTAAGAAAGTCCTACACACAACATGATCTAGTTCAACATAGTCTTTCAGTAGTATACTGGTCCCAGGATACTACTCAGGTCTCTTTCTCAGTCCAACATTTAACCAAAGAACAAATACGCTGGTAAGAACTAACCACCTAAAATCTACCAAGCATCAAAAGCATCCATATAAAGTGGATAAAATATTATCCAGTAATAAAGTGGAAAAAATATTTCCTTTTATTTCTTCCTTTTCTCACTTTATCTCTTATTTTATGCTAAAGAAAATGTCCAACAGTTAACCAAATTCCTACTCTCACTATAAAGATCCATCTTTTTCTTTTCTAAAAAAATATTCTTCTCAAAATCAGATAATACATCTAATAGTCATGAAACTCACTATCGGATAAACAAGAAAAAAATATTTATGATAATTTATATAGACTCCACTATAAAAATGCTTTTCAAAGAGCACTGTAGATGCTATGCTGTGTTTCTGGTATCAAGTGTTGCCCATGCATTATGTGGACACAGTACCATCCCTAGCACTCAAAGCTGTAACTTAGAGTAGTCATAAATTCATTCTTCTTGGCTTCAATATTCTGTTCTCCACCTCAATAGAACTTTGAGACTAGAGATGATTAAAGATTCTGATATCATTAAAGCTTCTTCTAGCTTTTGCCAGAGAATAAACAAATATTCAAATTGCTAGTTAAAAAGCTATTGAGCTATTTGTAAAATTTAGAGACAAAATGTATGCTCAATTATAATGAAACTATTGAATTAATATAAGAACCCACATTGTGAGTTGTTTTAAAGAGCAATGCTTGAAAAGTTCCACTTTTATATAGCCTTTCACACAGAGCAACCAGCAATAAGAACAAAGAAAACATTCATCTTGAAACAAGGTGAGGGGATGTCAAAAATAAAAGGACATACACACCAATTCAAAATCTGTTTTTTGTTCATTTCTACCTAGAAAGTTCTTCTTGGAAGTCAGTACTTCTATACTGCCAAAACAATTATACAAAATTATTTTTATTTCATTATAAAATAATACTTATTTCAGTAATCAAATATTTTATACATGGATACAAGTACCAGGAATATAGAAACTTTACCACTGTTTCTTTTTAATAGTATAGAACAGCAAATTTATGTCCAACTTTTGGTCTTTAATAACTTTGTATAACTTCTATCATCAGTGGTTTAGCCAAAGCAGAATAAACTCAAGTTTATCTAACAGTGAAATATTCACTTTTCAGAATTCAACCAACCAGACTGTGAAATTTTCACAGATTCATATTATAAAATATTTTTAGCAAAAGACTAATATGCTTCTATTAGTTCAGAACCTAATGATATCAGCATACGGATGGCTAAAATTTATAAAATATTTAGACCCTGGAGTCACTGCATATATAAATGCTTAATTTTAAAATGATAAATTTTCAGACTTTATATTTCTATGGCTTGGCTTAGATGATTAAAAAGTGAACATGCTCAGGGCTGGAGTTGTGGCTCAGTAGTAGAGTGTTCACCTAGCACATGTGAGGTCCTGGGTTCAATCCTCAGCACCACATAAACAAAATAAAAAAGGTATAAAAAAAAAGTGAACATGCTCAATGGAGTAATGAAACTAAGTTTCTAAAAATAACCTTGGGAATCCACCCCCACATAAAAAGCAAGTTAAAAACTAGAATATTAATTGCATACACACTGCAAGGAACAATATGGTACAGATAAGAACTAGATTAGACAGTTATTTAATCCATAAGACAACTGGTAAGACACACCTGTTTTCTTTTCTCTAGTCTTTCTTGCTTTAACTTCTCTTTTTCTTTTTCCAGCTCTTTGTTTTTGATGAGAATGGTGGGTTTACTTTTAGGAGTTTTTTTGTTAAGGATTTTAGCCATGGCATCTGCCCAGCCCACATTAGTCCCAGCACTTGATTCTGCAGCATTTTCATCTTCTTTGTCACAGGGTTCAACATCATCCTCATTGTCAGCTTCTATTGCTTCATCATCAGACATACAATCCTTTTCTGATTCATAGCTTCCTAAGAGTAAAAAAAAAAAAAAAAAATATTAAATTTTAGAAACATAAGCAGAGGTTGCCAAGATTATGACCAGACTCCTTGGGCCCTTCATAAAGCTTCACCTGCCTCTACTCTTATAATAAGGGACTTAGTTCTGAGTGCCAAAGCTGCAGTAATAGCGGGGAATAGCAGGTACTTCTATCCAAATGCTATCAGTCCCAAACACCTAGCCCAGTCACACTGACAGTGAAGTCACAGTGGCTTCAAGATCCAGGATCCAGGTAGCAATAACAAATCCATCATCCAACAGCCTCTGCCACTTTACTATTATCAGGCCAGAGCAGGATGTACTCAAGTACATGAACCTTAGCTATGCCACCAAACTACTTAAAGAGAATAATAAAGATTATGTTAAAAATAAATAACACCACAAATTTAATATATTAAGAAAACTGGTACAGTATTAAAGTAATTTCTCTAAGGGACTTGGCCTAGATATTTAAAATTCTGAATCTGTATTGTTAGAGTCTGTAAACAAGTCAAAATAACACCTGGCATTCAGCCAGGGGAATGTTAGAGTTCCTAAACAAGTCTGGATGGTGCCTGGCAAAATGCCAGAGGGAGTGGTTTGAGAAGTAACAAAAGCCAGCCATTAAGTGTAGAGATTCCTTATTGGTTGACTGATGTATCTAGTTTATGCTAATTAGATAAGCTCTGTGGAATGTATAAATACTGCTCCTGTCCTGCAATAAACGGCTCCCACTCCTGCTGTATCAACGTACACAAGTTATTCGTCACCCCCCGGTTATTCTGCTGCAGCTGGACTGCGGCACTGTATGTAGATAAATACTAAAGTCCAGATTCATATCATTTTAAAGAATTTGGATATAACATTATAAAACTTGTTTTTAACACTTTTGAAAAAAATTGTCTAATGATGTAACCAAGATACCAAAGATCCAATTGCACTAGTGAGTGATTGAATAAAAATATCAAGTTCTGAGTTAAAAATACAAAGTTGTAAGTGTACTATTAATTTCATCATGCCAAACCTATCTAATCAAGTATATAAACGTTACCAGCATATTAGTTCATCATGTAAGATTCAAATGGCTAGGGTTAGGGGACTGGCAGAAGTGACAACAGTCAGTGGCTCTGCTAGAAAAATCAACTTGCTCAGCAACTCTGCATATTTTAAACTTAGCAGCCTTTCTCCACTTCTAAAATGAAATGTACTTTAACAAAGGCAGCACACCACAAGCAGTCAGCGCAGTGTGAGTACAATTATATGCTCCAGGGCCCTCTGGAGAGCTTTTGTTTTATTCTTTAGAAACCCATGGAATATAGGAAAGACTACAAAACAGAAAATCAACCAACAATTTAGTAACTTGGAATTCTTCTTAATAAGCAAAAGAAGAGCTAATAAAGGCAGCTGAAAAATTAACAAACAAGAAAACTTAGTGATTTACAAATAGTTGTCACTAGTAGTTATGTCTTTGGGTAACAAATGTGCTTTTTATGGTTAACTCCAGTCTAGTTGAATCTCAAAGATTATTACAAAAAATGCCATTACCTAAAACTTTTTTCCTATCAAAACATCTCTACTAAATAACAATATTAGGAATTAACAATACTGGTAATCTTATTGTAAACAGTAACTCTTATACATTAAAATAAAAATTAAGATAAAACTGAAAGAAAAAGGCATAGGAATAACAAGTTTCATGCTGCTCCCTATTTAATCAAATTTTGATGTCCTCCTATCCAACTCAGAAACTTCATTCAAATATACAGGACTAAAAAGCAAACTATAGCTCTGACACACCAGTCAGACTGCTCTGGGTCCCTTTATCTCTACCAAAGCTAAGCATGGTAACCACAACCTCTGCTTCTACCTTCTGAAACATCTACTGGCTGATTATACTGGTACTTAAAACATTACCTGTTCTTCAATCTCAAGCTTTAGTTTCTTCTCTATGCAACAAAACGTGCATATTCTAACTTTAAATATATTCACCATTTTAATATCAGCTTATTGCATAATCAAAGAGGTAGACTATTAATTTCAGAGTGTCGCCCTCTTATCTATTTACTTTAAGATGTGAATCAGGGACAACTCTTCTTTAGAACTGTAAATATAATATTTCAATTTGAATATGACTTTTATATAACACAAACTCTGCATTCCTAATTCAAAAATCCATATACAAAACATTCTGAAATTTGAAATTTTTTGTGCACATGTTCTCAAAAGGTTTTGGATTTTGAAGTATTTAAAATTTTGTATTTTTGGATTAGGGATGCTCAACCAGTAAAGACTGCAAATATTCCAAACTCTAAAAAACTCTGACATACTTCTGGTCCCAAGTATTACAGATAAGATATTCATACCTTTACTTTTTAAGTGCTGAGAATTCACAAAATGGATATAAAATTGAGTATTAACACATTTCAAATTAAAATTGGCCATATAAGAAAATAGCAAATAAAAACACATATCCAAAATGAACTTCAGGAATGAGTAAAAATGAATTTTAAAAAAATTAACTGAATATTACATAAAATTAAGAGTTAAGCAAAAAAATATATATTTTACATTGTTTAAATACATGATCTTAAAGCATAAAGGGTCTATGGTATGGAAAAATATTGAAAGAAATGTTAAAAGCAAGAAACCTTTTATAATTGTATTACTATGATGGAGCTGTGCATTTCTTAATGAAGAGAAATTATATTTTTAAAACAGAAACTCATTTATTCAATTTGAAGTTTTTCTATACATTACAGTTACGTCAATTTAAGAAGTTTAGACAGTGAGTCTAGGTTTGACATCCAAATATATGTAATATTAGAAATATATATATATATATATATATATATATATATATATTATAAATGAATGTTTCCAAACAGAAGCTGGTAGCATTTTATCCAATCCAATTAAAATATAATCATATATTATATGCCAGACTGTAGGGCCACACAATTTTTCCCCAGGAAACATCTCCTAGGACCAGAACATTGTGAAACAAAGTTCAGAGAAAATAGCTAGTTGAAAAATAAATGTTAATATTACATATACTTTAGTCCTCAGTTAGCAGCACCAAACTCAAATAACAAAATAATTCTTTGGGGAAAAAAAAATGCTTTCTCTAGTAAGCATGTATCTAACTGTAAAGAGACACAAATATTTAAAAGTTTATGTCAATGAAAACTATCTGAATGATCAAAAGCAGAAAGATCTTTACCAACTCCTGATAAAACATCAAAACTACAACAGTGACATCTAGTGTTTCATCCTGATGTACTTACATACAAACTGCAGCAAACTTCACATTTTTTAATGGCACTAAAACGTAGCCCAAATGCTTTGATTATGTAAGCCACTCCAATTCACCACTCTGAAACCCTGACTAATTGTCTCATGTACTTCTTACCCAGCTTAACCATGATATGCATAATATAGTCACAATAAATCCATGAAAAGTTTTATGACACCATATTACATAAGCTATACTCACCCTACGAATTAAAAATTATTTTTAAAAAATTTGCAAAAGTCGGGGTTGGGGATATAGCTCAGTTGGTAGAGTGCTTGCCACGCATGACAAGGCCTGGGGGGTTCAATCCCCAGCACCACAAAAAAAAAAAAAAGAGAAAAAGAATTTGTAAAAGTCATGTTTTTTATTTTATCTTATTTTATTATTATTTTTTTAAAGCTCTAGCTCAGAGGCCTTTAGTAAGGCATTTACTGTCACTGGAAACGATTACGTATAAATAAATGAAAAAAGCCAAATTTGGTCTCCCAGTATACTAAAAACAAAATTTACTTCTAGGATACCAAAAATTATCATTATGTGAATAAGAAAGTAAAACTGGTTCTTAAAACTTTACTGTATTCTATTAAAATGAAATTCTTCTAATTTTCCACTAACCAATTTTTAATAGCAAAAGTTTATCCAGGCATCTTAGGGGCACAGATAGGAATCACCAAACAAGTGAAAAATCCTTTGAACTCCTTTTGTCTGTTTTCCTAAACATTATTTCTGCATTCTATTTTAAAAGTCTAGAAATTAAGTAAGGGCTAGAAAGGATGTGTATTGGAAGTAATGACAAAAATTTCTCATCATGGCAATATTCTATCTACACCAGAGCTACCCTGGAGCCACCAACTACAAGAGGCTACTGAATACTTCAAACATGTCTAGAATGACAGAGAAGCTGAATTATCTATTTTGAGTAATTTTAATTAACTTACATTTAAGTAGCCACATATGGCTGGCTAGTGGCTAACATACTGGATAGAGAGCAGGGTTATATCTCCGAGGTACTGACTTAGACATAAGGTATTTTTCATCTCCTGCTGCCTTTCCTCTCAAACCTCCAGTCCCTTTCAAACTTGCCATCTGTCCCTGATCCCAGATATGGTTAGCTGCTAGCAGAAAAGTCAGCCATTTTCCTTAGCCTTTAGAAAGGGGAAAAGTCCCCTCAACATTTATTGAGCAGCCATGAACGATGGGCAAGGAAGGAAAAGTAAATGATAAATCTAAATCTAGGAGATGGGGTTATAGCTCAGTGGCAGAGTGCTTGCCACACATGTGTGAGGCACTGCATCCAATCCTCAGTAGCACATATAAATAAAAATTTAAAAATAAAATAAAATAAAGATTTAAAACAATTTTTTAAAAAATCTGAATCTAGGTTTCTCTCCCTAGGAAATCTGTGTTTTTTGTTGTTGTTGTTGTTGTTTGTTTGTTTGTTTTTGAGAGAGAGAGAAAAAAAAGGATGAAGAAAGGGTGAGAGGTTTGGAAAGATGGCTTAGGGAGTCTGACAAGGATGATCAAATTGTTTCTTAAAAGGCAAAACAAGAAATTTGGATGACAACAGAAGGGAGGAGTGAAAGAATTAAGGTTCTATAATCCAGGTTGACTAATCAAGGGAGGAGGCAAGGTCACTGAGCTTAGAACCAATGTTTTATATGAAAATAAAAATTATCATAGAAATCATATTACTTTTGGCAT